TCTCAAAAGTGCTTTGTCTGGGGCCGGGGAGATGGCTCAATGGAATAAGCGCTTCCCTGGTAAGCTCAAGGGTGTGAGTTCAATCCCCAGTTAAAAAAAAAAAAAAAAAAAAAAAGTGCTTTGTCTGATAGTGTGCCCCAGAGAGGGTGCTAATACTTGGAGCTGTTATGATGGTGTGGAGTCTCCAGAGTAGAAGCCAGGAGACTGAGGACCCAGATGCCTCCAGCCTTGGCCCCTGCTTTAGAGGCGCCTCTTCTTGAGAGGCCTCCCTGATGTCTCCCTGACTGGGATGGGGCAGAGACTGCTTTGCCTGAGGACAGTGATCCCAGAGCAGGGATTAATGGTGGATGAGCCCAGGGCTTTCTCACCGAGCTGCATCCCTAGCTCATTATCATCATTGTCATCATTTTGAAACAGGATCTTATGAAGCAGCTGAATGGCTTTGGCTAGGCTCAAACTTGGCAGTGCTGGAGATGGTACCCAGGGATACTCTACCACTGGGTTACCATCTAGCCTTTTTTATTTTGAGACAGGTTCTCACAAATTGCCTAGACTGGCCTTGAATTTGAGAGCCCCCCACTCCAGCCTCCCAAGTAGCTGGGATTATAGGCATAAAGTTAATTTTTTGTTTTTTTTTTTTTAGACAAAAATCTTGCTATGTAGTTCAGGCTAGCCTTGAACTCATGGCAGTTCTCCTGCCTCAGCCTCCAGAGGACTGGGGTCACAGGTGTGTGCTAACATGCCTGGCAAGGTTAATGCTTTGTTTTGTTCTGTCCTGTGACAGGGTCTTTCTTTGTAGTGTGGGCTGGTCTTGAACTCACTGTGGAACCCAGATGGGCTCAAACTCATGGAGGCGCTCCTCTCTCAACCTCCCGAATGCTGAGGATTATAGGTGTGTGCCACCATACCCAATCCTAATGTCAATATTCTTAAACATTCTGCAGTGATTTAAACATTCTGGCCATTGTAGGGAGGGCCTTTTCAAACTTATGTGAAAAGAGGAAAAACTGGAGTCTACCTCTGTGTCCATCAAGAAGGGAATGCCACATAACACACAAAACCCCACAATGAAACACTATATATTCAGGAAAAAGCAGGAGGCAGATTATGTGTGTACACACCATGATAGGACGGCTTGACATGATGACACCATGACAAGGCATTTACTTGATGGGAGAAGCAGCAGAACAATACAATGTGTATAGTCTCCTGTTTACATAAAAACAAATTTTTAGGGCCGATGAGATAACTAGCAGACTAAGCACCTGCTTAGGCAAGTGCAAGGACCAGGGTTTGATCCCCTGCACCATGTGCTGCGCTGGCCCTGCCCCTAGGCAAGCTGAGCTGGCCACCGAGACTGGGCATGGTGGTGCGTGCCTGTAATCCCAGCACTGTGGAGGCTGAAAACAGGAGGATCACTACGAGTCCAAGCTGCATAGTGGTGAGACCCCGTACCAAAATACATTTTATTTTTATTTTAAATTTATTTATTTATTTATTTGTGTGTATGTGTGTGTGTGGCCAGCTCAGCCCACCAGGGGGCAGGGCTGGCTGGCATGTGGTACTGGAGGATAGAACCGTGGTCCCTGTGCTTTGCTAAGCTTGTTCTAAGTAGGTGCTTTAGATCACTGAGCCATCTCACCAGCCCCAAAATACATTTTTAAAAATCTTTTTAAAAATCCAATTACCTGTTAACTGATTACAGAAAAATTGTGTGGAAGAGTGACCACTGGCCAAGGTAGAGAAGGGCAGTATCAATTTCTTGCCTTCACATTTTTCTGTTGCTTGGAAACTTTACCACCAACGTATATCATTTTGTAATTCACAGAAGAAGGAAGGAAGAAGCCAGGAGACTGAGGACCCGGATGCCTCTTGCTTCAGAGGTATCTCCTCTGGAGAGGCCTCCTTGATGTTCCCATTTGTCCCTCAGGCAACTCAGCTCAGTTTCCCTTTTGGGCCCACTCTGGTCTCTGGGGATGTGTTCCCAGCCTGGCTTTTTTCTAGACTAAGGCATTTGCTCAGCCTCCCTGGTTAGAAGGCCATGGGTCATCACAGGCCTATGGCTTCATGGTTAGGCCTGTAACATTACAGGGCACAGAAGCCAGTAAGACAGGATCTATCTGGGCTGCCTGGAGCAGGAATTTGAGGACTGCATCCTCAGCCCAATCTTAGGGCATTTCCTAACCTAGCAGGGGACTTTCAGGATTGGGAACCTAGAAGTCCTAGAACCTATTTCTTTTTTTGTTTCCTACACAAACATTATCCTAACTTTTCTGAGAGTTGGGGGCTGTGACCCCAGGAAGAGATAGCACAGGCACATGAAAACTAAAGGTGTGTGGCTCTCCTTGGAGATGTGGGTCCCAGTGACCCTCACTCCCCACAACCCCTAGCAAGGCTTGCTGGAAGGTTGGGAGGGCTCTAGTTTTGTAGAGTGGAGGTATGGTGACCCCAGACTGCAAGGGGATTGTGGAAAGAGCTCCTCCATGAATCAGAAGGCTATGAGGAGGGGCTGGGGAGATGGCTCAGTGGAATAAACACTTCCCTGGCAAGCACAAGGGCCTGAGTTCAATCCCCAGTTCCACAAAAAAAAAAAAAAAAAAAGGCTATGAGGAAGCTCCTGGAGTGGGAGGTGGTGAAGGCTGAGGGGGTGGTACTGGTTGGTGTGTCAGAAGGGAGGGCATGAGAAACAGGCATGAGGATCTAGGTGGAGGGAAGCTGCCATTGCCAAGGGGTGGTGGAGTCTGAGGTTTGGCACTGGGGACCTCTGAGCTACTTGTCATGTGGCTCTGAGTTGGTGATTCTCTCTGAGCTCCTTTTGATCATGTGAATAATAAAGCCAACTACACAGGCATATTGTGAAGACTGAGGCAAAGCCTATGAGGTCCCTCCCACAATTCGAGGCACACAGTGAGCAAGCAGCTTATCCAGGGAGCCATTTACACCAATCCTTGTCTATTCCAGCCCGAACCCAATTGCTTGACCACCTGTTCTGGGCATGAATAATGTGGGGTTCTTGATTGCAAGTTGTTAGCTATGGGCACCACTTCAAGAGAATTTAGGAGTCAAGGAACTTGAGAAGATGCTGGGGAAGCTGGCAGAGGACCTGGGAAGGTAGCAGAGCCAGGCTTGGGGAACAGGCTGGATGCAGGGAGGTGGGGAGCAGCGAGGACCACAGCCTCAGTCGTGTCCCAGGATGGCCCAGCAGGGACTCAGCAGCTGCCTAGGAGCCTATTCTCTCCTCTGCACTGGCAGCCCCTGTGTGCCGCCCTGCTCACAGAGTGAGGCTCCACACCTGCCTCTCAGGGCCAGAGTCTTCGGATTCACGGTGTGGGCCTGACTCCCCAGCTGGGCGAGGGAGTTTAGGATGAAACAGCTGCCTGTGCTGGCCTTTTACTGGAGGAGGTGCCTTCTGCTTCCCTCAGTGCAGGCCAGGGCCATGTCCAGATGCTGGGCATCCAGGCACCTGGCAGATGTCTACATGGGAAACAAAAACAGGCAAATAGTTGTCTTTGTTTTTGAAATACTTGCAGACATGTAAGGACCATAGCAAAAGATCATGAGAGAAAGGGACAGAAGCCATGGTGGGGGTGAGTGCCAGCCCCAGGCTGTGTTGGTGGACAAACACTGTCACAGGTCCTAGGACCACAGTGGATAGTCTGAGATGTCCCTGTGTGCTCCTTGGTGACATGGCTGGGCTGGAGTTTTGGATGACTAACCAGGACTACATCACTTTGGGCCAGGCTTGGACCCACTGAGTAAGGATTCTGGGTAAGTCTGTCTGGATTCTCTGAATTTTCTGAATGAATTTCTCTGAGGAGTGAATTTTCTGAGTGAGAATTCTGTGTTCCTGGGCCAGACCTGGACACATGAGAACTCAGGTCAGGCTTGAGGGCTGGTGCACCTTCTCGCACTCATAGAATAATATAGTGGCTCAATCCTTCTGTTTTTTGTCCTGCCATACATCCATCTTATTGTGGCCTTGAATTGTCTCTTGCCCTGTTGGGGCTTCAGCTATCTGGAATTGAGGTTGGAATTTCTCAGGACTAGAGATCTGAGATGGGACAAGAGGAGAAAAGTGGGTTTGCATAGGCCGGGCCTCTGCTCTCGAGATTAGCTTTCTGCTCTGCTCACCATCTCAGCCCCTGTCCTGCCATGCTGCCTGTTCCTGTCCCTACCGCAACCATTTCTGCCTCTTCTGTTACCATCTCTGCCTGCTCCTGAGTCTGACCGTCACCATCACTGTCTTCCCTGTCATTATCATTGCCTGTTGCTCTCTCATCTTGGCCTTCATCCCCAGAACCCAACTTCAGCCTTTGAACCCTGCTATGTCTCTCCCCTACTCAGTCATCTATGGTTTTTTTTTTTTTTTTTTTGTGGAACCGGGGATTGAACTCAGGCCCTTAAGCTTGCCAGGGAAGCGCTTATTCTACTGAGCCATCTCCCCAGCACCAGCCATCTGTGTTTACTGAGAACAGAGATAGAAAACACCCTGCCACCCTGCAGCACGTGCAGGCACACACACACACGCACGCATGCTGGGGTGCCATAGTTCAGTTCACCTCAGTCTAATCCTGGCAAGTCATTCTGTAGAATAGTCACAGGGATGTAAAAGATGGGTGGAGGGTCCTGTCAGGTCTCACCCAGCCCCCAGGCCTCCCTGGCTGCCCCCCTCTTCCTATCTGAAGCAACTTGAAAAGCAGCACCTTCCTGTCACCTCTCACACCCACTGGGGCCTCAGTAACAGGCAGCCACTCTCTCCTTCCCGCCTCCTTTCTTCCTCAGCCAAGAAGACCACCACAGAGCCAGGTGCTGAGACACACAGGTCACCTCTGGGCTCACAGTACTTGGGGGCTGAGGCAGACAGGCTTGGGGAAGAATCAGCAGAGAGGGAAAGGAAAGGGGGCTTGGCGGGCTGTTGAGACATGGGAGTGAGATTTTTAGGATGGGGGCATTTGGGGTGAAGGAAGATGGGGGGGTCGTGAGGAGGGCGTGCCTGGTGGTTCCTGCATTGTGTGGTCTTAAAGAAGCCAGATGCTGACTCAGGAGACAGCTGAGCACTCAGGGCATCTGTCACAGGGCTGGGTCCCTCGGGACTCTCAGCTCACTCAGGCTTCCTCTCTGGCCAGGGAGCAGAGTCTGGGGCAGTCGGGGTGATAAGACACTGACATCGTCCCAGCGGCCTGGCAAAGCTGTCTGGGTGAGGTTGGATGATGCGGAGTCGCTGGTTGGTGGAGACACGGACCCCTCTCCACATGGAAAGGGCGGCCCCTCAATGCTCCGCGGCCCTACAGAACCTCCAGCTGGCTCTGCAGCAGTGCTCGTGGCAGGGGAAGGAAGGAGGTGGGCAGGCGGGCAGCAGCTGCCTGTGGGTGACACCTCGGTGGGTGTGAGAGGCGACAGAAGAGTCCTTCCTTTCTCCTTTCAGGTCACCTCTGCACCTCATTGCTCACTGATTAATTTTCATAAAATCTTCTTTCTTTTTAAAAATATTTATTTATTTATTTATTTGGTGCAGGGTCTCACTATGCAGCTTAGACTCATAGTGATTCTCCTGTCTCAGCTTCCTCAGTTCTGGGATTACAGGTGTGCACCACCACGCCTGGTAGTGGTGGCCAGCACGGTCTACCTGGGGTCCCAGGACTGGTATAGCATGCAGTACCAGGGATTGAACTTGGGTTCTTGTGCTTGCTAAGCAGGTGGTTAGACCGCCAAGCTATCTCCCAGCCCTAGAATCCTCTTTCTATGCCTACTAGAACAACACTGACTTCTGTCAGAACTACAGAAGTCCTTGCATATCAACCAGTTCAAACCTTGGTTTTACAGATAGGCAAATTGAAGCGAGGACAGAAATTTTAGGGGGAAGCCCTTCCTAGTAGCCAGGCTTATAAGTGGAGAACCTTCAGACCCTCCCTTGACACCTGTCTTTCCAGCAGGTAGTGGAGGCATGAAGGGAAAAAACCAGCTGCACAACTGGGTTGTTGCCATAAGACCAAGGCACTGAGAGACTCGAGTGGCTCCCTGACTCCTGGCCTGGACTTCCAGCTCTGCCAAGGTAACCAGGTAGGATGGAGTCCCAGCCTTACCATCATGGGAGGAGGAGGAGTTAGGAGGGAGTTGGAGAATGAGCTAGAACAGCACCTCTTTGGTGTCCTAAATACCCCTTACCCCAGGCACATCATGAGGATAAGTCCTTGAGGTGCCAGAGACCCTGGCCTCATGTTTCAGGGGTCCAGACCCTCTTGTGGGCCATAGAAGGGGGATAGCCATGGAGAAGGCTTGGCTTGATGACCATGGCCCTTGAGCTTTGGTTTGACAGGGTGCAGGGACATCTAGGGGAGTTTACTGTCTTGGATTAGGATTTCCCCCCAAAATCACCTTGGGTCCATTCAAAACAACACAGAGGATGGTCTGAGATACTCCAGGGCCCAGGATGGTCTGGGTTTGGGTGAGGTTGTGGGGGAGAGGAGGACAGCTTCTAGAGGGAGGAAGGGCAACCTGTACAGTGTGACAAAGTCTTGGGCAAAAGATCTTGGGATGAGAGGAAAAATATCTGAGTGACAGATATGTGAGGAAAGGATTTACCATGTCATAGTTCCTCCCCCTTGGAAACTAAACTAGAGGTAGGACAATCTAAGAGACCCAGGAGTACTGGGCCCTGGCCCCTAAGCTCCTTGCCTTCTGCTCTTTAGGTCTCCTCAGCCTACTGGGCACTTCCAGACACAACGGAGGCTCGTGGCTTGTCCTGCGCCAACTCACGATGCCCCTTGACATGGGCACCAGTCCCTCCTTGCTAGCCCGTCCCCAATGGCTGGACCTATTCTCGTGCCCCTGGCCCCCTTGGGCACAGCCAGCACCCCTGGACACAATCCCAAAAGGTCTCAGAGAGGACAACTCAATCATAAGTAAGCCCAGGGCACAGGCTAGGCCTGCACCTTGGTGGGGACAGGGGGAGGCAGACGTCCAAGTTTCAGGGTCACTAGTGAGGTCATTTTACTTCTGCATTGTAGCCTATAGTTCTCCTAAGGGCTTTTTCAAGATGGTGACAGCTCAGCCAGAGGAGGTGGGCAGAGGCTTTCCTCTGCCTAGGAGTGGAAGTGGGTGTAGCAGAAGTCGCAAGATGGTGGCGGTGGTGGCGGTGCTTTGTTTGCCTAGAACATGTGTACTGCAAGTTGGGAGTGGGGCCTGAAGTCCTGCTTCTGCTGCTGCTGGTTCTAGACCTTTGGACACACTCCCTAGACACACTCACTTTATACCTACGTTTATAAAGGAGTTGGTACTCCTTTATACCTACGTTTGAGGTTTGTGCTGTTGTAGTCTATCATTTTCTTATATGACTGAGACCTCCTGGAGAGGTAAGGATTATCCTGCTGTGACCTTCATTTCTGGAACGCTGGCAAATGAATAGCAAGATATTTTTCCTTTTACTATTTTACCTTTTTTTGGTACCAGAAATTGAACTCAAGACCTTGCGCTTGCCAGGCAGGGCCTGTGCCACTGAGGTACATCCCTGGCTCCTGCCTTTTTGTTTTTTTTCCAGGGCTGGGGATTGAACCCAGGGCCCTACACATGCTAAGGGCTCAACTGAGCTACATTTCTGGCCCTAGGACTTTATTTTTTATGGCTAGCCTCAATCCTACTTCACTGGTGTGACATCTCCCTCTTCCTTTCTAGCTCCTCTTACCTTCTAAAGATTTTCAACCCTCAAACTCAACGGAGAGCCCTCTCCTTCCCTTCCTTCCTCTTCTTCCCTTCTCCTCTTGTCTTCTTGTCCTTCTTCCTCTTCCATTTCCTCCCCTCCAATCTTCTCTCCCCAGTTCTGCCCTTTCTTTCCGACCCTCTCCCGTTCACTTTATCTTAGAATAGCATTGTTTGACAGAATTTCTCCCAACAGTTGTGACATCCTATGCCTGTGCTGTCCAACACCAGAACTACTGAACAGTTGCAGTGTGGCTAGTAGAACAGAA